CCCACTGAGGCCCCGCTTTCCTAGGACAGCAGCCACCTCCCCGGAACTCGCCTGCCTGCCCTTCAAGCCCTCCCGTGCCCGGCATCCTTCTCTGCGGCCTCCTGTCCCCTCGACCTTTGAGGTGGGCATTACTGGGGCCCAGGCTGGCTGTTCTCTGTCCACACGCCCCCAACCGGTGTCCGCACCAGGCATCCTCTGCCTTCCACCCTCGGAGACCTGCGGCTGGCCTCCTCCACGTGTCCCCTGCCGCCTCTCCAGTTGTCTCCCAGACCCCAGTCCTGGCCCAGGGCCTGCTCCTCGGTCCCAACCTGCTCCCTCCCACTGTCCCCGTCTTCCTCAGCGACCGCTCAGGAGAGAACCCTGGAGCTGCTGATCTCCCCGTCTGCCCACATCCAGTCCTTCCAAAGTCACTCACTTTTCCCGTTCTCCTCTCTCCACTGTCTCCTCTGCCTGCCACTGTCCCCGCTGGTCCCCTGGCCAGATCTGTGTGTATTTGTGCAACACCAGACCCCCTGGATGTGAGCTCCAGGGGGCTGTGCCGGGGGCCAGTACCAGTGCCCCCCTGCGCTCCTTTAGCATTTCATAAAGAATTGTCAGCCGGCCAGGGGAACAGACCGAGGCTGCTCTTCAGCACATGGTCCACCCCTCGCTCACTGTCACATCTGTGCCCCTCCCCAGCGTCCCACCCCAGGGCTCCGCAGAGACCCCAGACCCCTCCTCAGGCCCAGCCTCATATTCCCCCTCCTGGCCCAGCTGAGCTTCCTCCCCCGTCAGGCTTTCTTCTGCCCTGTCTGTGTCATCGTCTCTCTGTCTGTCTCTCTCTGCCTCACTCTTTCTCATTTGTCTCTCTCTCTCTGCCTCCTCTTTTTGTCCCAGGAATTTTATTTATTGCAAAAGCAACATCCCTAACAGCGTTAAGGGAAATTTTTAAGGAGAAAATTTCACTCCTGGCCCAAGCCAGCCACTTGGGCACTTACAGCACCTACTTCCCTCCTTTTCACATTTTCCCCTGGTCTTGGCACACCGTCCACGTTTGCCACACACAGCTCGGGAGATGACCTCTCCCCGACACTCTGTGCCCACATTGTCCATGTCGTGACACCCTCATCAGCAGTGCCGTCACCACCCTCACGTTGACGGCCACAGCCCCACTTGGACTCCGGCGGGTGCCCCCTTCCCTGGCTGGTCAGCGCAGAGCTGGCACGTGCTCACACTTTGCCTTGTTCCTTGTGGTCTGGGGAAAATGTTTCAGAGGTCCCTGAAGGACCCGGCACAGGTGACATCGATGAGGACTGCTTGTAGGTTAACCCACCTCAGCCTTCGGGGACCTAACCTGGCAGGCCTTACCAAAACGAGGACTGCAGGGCACCCCTGACGCAGCACACCGCACGCCGCCTGGTCTGCGTGCCGGGAGAAGAGGACACATGGTGGGAGACTGGCACAGGAGCACCCGGCAGCCCTTACGCGGCGCGAGGGCCTCCTTGCGGAAGGAGGCGCGTCTGTGCCGCACTGATGCCTCCAAGAGCGAGGTGCCCAGCCACTGCGCCCCGCCACGTGGCAGTGCCGACTTTTCCTCCATGCCCCTCACTAGGCCCACAGGGCACATGTTCCTTTGTCCTAAGGAATCCTCAGAGGGCCCAGGCACCCTAGAAGCCACATGCCCCCAGCTCAGCACACCGGAAGCACCAGGAGGAGGGACTTCTCTACACACAGCCAAGCCTGGAGGGCCTGCAGCCCGGGCCCAGGACTCCACATTTCTGAGGATGGGCTCCTGTCCCGAGGCAGAGGATATTTCTCCACTGTGGCACCAGCTCCCTGGGTGGCCTCTTGCACCCAACAATTACCACCGCCATCACCTCCCACGCACATCCCTGTCCTGAGCCAGGCCCAGCCTCGGGCGCTGAGCATCTCCCGGCGTTGTCGTCAGCCAATGCGCCGCCCGCTCAGGGAAGCGTGGGTGGGCTCCCTCCTTCCAGCCCCTCCTCCTCAAACCTGCAGCCCTCCCTCCTGCTCCTCCCTCGCCCTTCCTCCCTCTGTCTCTCCCTCCTCCTCTCCCTACCTCCCTCCTTGCCCAGTGGTGTCACCATCCAACACGTCACTTGGGCTCTGCCCAGGGGTGATCTTGCTTCCCCCACTTCTCCACCCCTGACCTGTCCGAGTTCAGGAGTCCCCATCTCCTGCGGCCATGGCCTCCAACGTGTTCACGCCGCCTCTCCAGCCCCAGTCCAGGCTCCACTCGTGCCCCCTTATATCTGCAGGAGGATGCTCCTCCCCTCCCCAAATCCCAAGCCTAGGACCCCCAGAGCAGGTGTCTCCACCCTACCCCACCCGCTGTGGGAGGCCCTGGGAGATTCTGGATGGGTGGGGGCGCAACTCCCAGGAGAGGGGGCTGCCCCGGGCAGGCATGGCCGGCCAAGCCACGTGACCCAGAGAACGTCTTAGGGAGAGAATCAGCTGACGCGCTGGGAGCTGTGGCTCTCAGGGTGGGAGACCGGAGAAGCTGACACCAGCCCACCGGGCGTCCCGGCCCCTGGCTGGACGCTGTCCTGGGAGGCTGTCCCAGAGAAGTCCTGGCTGCTTCAGGAGAGCTCGGAGAAACCCTTTATCTGGAAGTCCCTCCTCCACCAAGACGCAATCCCGGTCTGCCCCCTGCCTCCCGCCCTTAGCGCTCAGTCCCCTCCACGTCAGCAGGTGACACGGGAGCCTGGCTCCTGCGATGGCTGGAGCCACTCAGGGAGGCTCGGTCTCACCTAGGACTTCGTTTTCCAGGGCATTCTGTCAGCATTCCTCAAGAGCGCATCCCCCCTCTCTACCCTCTGGGGAATTCTTAAAAGTATACCTATGGGACCGGCTGGCTGGTGCAGTGGTTAAGTTTGCATGTTCTGCTTTGGTGGCCCGGGGTTCACCAGTTCGGATCCCAGGTGCGGACATGGTACTGTTTATCAAGCCATGCTGTGGTAGGCGTCCCACATATAAAATGGAGGAAGATGGGCAGGGATGTTAGCTCAGGGCCAGTCTTCCTCAGCAAAAAGAGGAGGATTGGCAGCAGATGTTAGCTCAGAGCTAATCTTCCTCAAAAAAAAAAAAAAAAGTACACCTGCTGATGGGAACAGACAACAGTGCAGCCCCTGTGGAAAACAGTCTGATGCGTCCTCAGAAAACTAAAAACAGAGTTCCCATATAATCTGACAATTCCGCTTCTGGCTATAACCCCAAAAGAATGGAACGCAGGGATTGAAAAGACATTTGCACACCTGTGTTCACAGCAGCGCTGTTCACAACAGCCAAGAGGCAGAAGCCACCTGAAAGTGCCCATCGCAGGACGAATGGACAAACAACATGTCTGTCCACACAAAGGGATACCAGTCAGGCTTAATGAGCCGGCAGAAGGCAGTTGCGCCGGTCGGGGCTCCAGACGGCAGGCTTCACTCTTGGTTGAGCAAGGTGGGGGCTGCCTGGCCTGCTGAACTCAACTTCTGGTGACGAGTGACTCACAGCCGGTTGCCTCAGATTAGAGAAATGGAAAAACCCCCAGAGTGCTAATAAATATTTTCCTCATAACCTTCATCAGTATGTCTCTATGTGGCCCGGGAGGTGTTAATTTCCTTCTGCCCAGGCCTTGCTCACAGTGACAGAAGAGCTGTCTAGAGGCGTCCGTCTCCTGGGTCCCACTTCTAGGGAGACTCTCCCTTGCTTTGTGGGCAAACTGTGGTGATGGTGGTGATGATGTGGATGGTGGTGGTGGTGATGGTGACAATGATGATGATCACGGTGACAATGATGTATGGAGGTCTCCCTTATGCCAGCTCTCCTCCCACAGCATGGTAAAGAGCTCAAACGTTATCTGGAGAACACTGGAGAGTCACCGAAATGTTTTAACTGCGTTGTGACATGACTTGAAGTGTGTTCTTAGGAGATGTCACGGTATGGAGTCAGACTGGTGGGGGCAGAGGACCAGAGTGGATGCAGGGAGATCAGGCAAGAGGTGGCGCGGGTAGGTGGGGTGGAGAGGAGGCAGCAGACTGGAGGGCTGTTTCAGAGGTGGGGCCCAGGACTCTTGGAGCAGACGTTGGGCTGGGCGTGAAGGTGAGAGGGTCGTCCATGAGATGAGGGGAACAAGGGGAGCGCAGATCTGGGAGGAAGTCCCAGTTTCTGGGTTAGGCAGCTCTGAGGTATCTGCTGGACACCCAGAGGTGATGATGGGCACTCAGCTCTGGGTTTCAGGGACAGTCAGGCCCAGAGGTGAGAAGTGGGATGTCACCTCTGGCAATTGGGTGGCATACATCCAGGACCAAGGCCGAGGGCCCTCTGGGTGGGACGAGACAGGGAAGGAGCTGCCAGTGAAGGAGAGGGCGTCCGGGACATGAGGGACAGGGTGAGCATCAGCATAGTCCCTCCGATCCTGGCAGCTGTCAGCAGCACCCAAGAAGATGGGCCAAGGCTGCTGACCTCTCCCCAGGTGTCCTTCTACCTGGGCCGGGCGGGGGGGTGGCGGTTAACTCATGCCCAGAGTCAGGAGGAAGTTCCTGGGTCCCATCATCCGGAGGGCTTCCTGGAAGGACAGCTTGGCCCAGGCATGAGGGTGACCCAGCAGTAGCGGCTGGAGTGGATGGAAGGCTTCCTCCTCCACACACCAGGACTGGGGCTCGGGGGCTGGCTGGAGTCTGGGAGCAGGCCACACAGCACCAGCTGGCAGGTCCCTTAGGAAGAGGCCTAAACGCCAAGCTGTGAATGTCCCAGTCCCTGCTCTTTAAGGGGCCCTGGGTGAGTCATAAGCCTCCTCAGGGCCTCAGTTTCCCCACCTGTAAACTGACGGAACTGAACTCTCACACAGAACCCAGATCAATAAGACAGATTCAGGCAGAGCTGATGTGGAGGACGCAGGGATGGGACCTTTACCTCCCGTGCCAGCCCTCCCCCTGACCCCTCAGACATGCCCTAGGCTGCAGGACCCCCTACCTCCTGGTCTGAGGCCTCGGTGGGCCCTGAGGTGTCTGGAATGAGGAAGGAAGGCTCTGTGATGGAAGGACACCCAGAAAGGGCCAGGCTGCAGGGGAGGAGGGCCTGCCCTGCTGTTCACTGTGCCACTCTCTGTCACCCTTGTCCTCCCCAGGCTCCTCACTCTGACCGAGCACCCTGGAACCATCCCTGAGCAGCCTGGCACAGCCCACGCTCAGCTAGCTGCTGCTTTGCACAAAGCCCCGTCTGGCTCAGGGCGGGTTGGGGGAGGGGTGCAGGCTTGGGGCGGTTGGTCGGGCCTCCAAGCACTGCTCCACACCTGCCTCTTGCAGGTGCGTTGCATTGAGGCTGCTCCCATTTCACAGAGATGCATCTTTCTTGTCGCTTCTGAGTTCCAGCTTCGGCTTCACATTGGTGTCTCGACCCCTCAAGGCAGGCTGGCCGGCCTCCAGGCTCTTGGCACTGCCTTCCGGAGCCAACCACACCCTCGGCAGGACCAGGCCCAACCAGGAAATTGCATTCCAGCCGCTGTTGTCCTGGGCACGGCGGCCCGCCCCGGACTGGCTTCGCATTGTCTATTTGTCTTAGTTAAGTTGTACACTGAAGGATGAAAAGCAGTGGGATTTTCCTGTTGCATGGCAGACTGAGTGCCTAGGATGAGCCCACCAAGGAAGACGCTGGTGGGTCCCAGTGGCTAAATCTTTACCCACGTTTCTGGGGAGGAGAGCACGGCTAGGCCTCTGCGGGGGGTTCGGGGGGCGCACCTGGGCTGCTGACCTGCGTGGACTCCGTGGAGTCTGTTCAGACCACTGGTGACTTTCAGCGGCTGGCAGGGACAGAGGGACGTGGGGAGGTGGGGACTTGGGGACAGAGCCTGCATTGTTCCCACTTGTTGGTGCTCCTGGTGAGGAATCGGGGCTGGAGACAGTCAGGGCGCCTCCCTCCATGGGCAGGAGGATGTTCTGCTCCTCTCTCTGGGCCGGAGGCCCGTCCGAGTCTGCACATCAAGTGCCGGCATAATCTGCTCTTTCCGGTGAAACTGGCAGGAATGTGGTCTGGATGGCGTTTCCCTTTTTTGATAGTGACATATTTGGATAATAATAAAGAACTTCCCTTAAAAATATCCAAATACTGAATTGCCCGGAAAGTGCTCGAAAGAGGAACAGACTCCGTTATGTGGCCGTAACAAGCCAGCCCGGGAGCAGGCCAGATCTCCCAGGGGCTTCCTGGCCGGGAGGTCCCCGTGGGTGCCAGGCAGAAGCTGAGGTGTCAGCTATCAGGTCAGGGAAAGAGGAGCAGGAAGGCTGGGTCCTGCGGGCTCCCACTGGAACGTGGGACTGTCACTTCCTGTCGCTTTCCATGTGGGCCCTCCTGCCCCTAGGGCAGGGGGCACGGAGGGGACCCCCTGCTATGTGCTCTGAGGGTGGACATCCTGGACGTAGGTTCAGCGTAACACTTCACTTCTCTTTCGTTTTGGTCTGGCTCAGGGTCATTTTGGGGGAAGCTGGACACACAGCCACTGTCAGCCTGCAGAGAGTCGAGCCCGGAGACTCCGGGCTGAGAGAAGCCTGCGTCGTCGGGCACTTCTGTTTCCCCCAACGTCCCCCCTAAGGGGAACTGGGAGCGGGTTACCTAAGCGGCCGTCTCGCCCACCTTCGGCCAGGGTCTTGAGGGCTTGCCCACTTGAGCCTCCTTCCCTGGAATGTTCCGTACCCCATCAACGCCAGAGAGGCATGTGGTCTGAAGGGTGGGGCGCGGACAGACCGCCCAGCAGGCCACCTTCCCTGGCTCCGGAGGGGTCCTGCGATGGCAGCCCCGCAGCAGCTGATGTCCCTGACTTGCCAGGAGCTGCCTGCTTTCCTTGTGGGGCTGAGTCACGTCCTGGATCCGCTCTGGGCAGCTGTGACTTCTGGTCGGGTAGAAATGTTTCTGGTTGAGCTGTCAGTGACTGAATGTCCTTCCTGCCCTGAGAGGAAAGTTTCAGCTCTGGAAAATTACCGGAACAGGATCAGTTACATCATTAGAGCAGAAAATACAATTGCCAACCAGCCTGGAAGTCCCAGGAGGGGCAGGTCCAGAAGTCACAGAGCTCCCCAACCTGCACAGGTGACACCACCATCCCTAATGCACGTGTGTGATGACATTTGTGTCTGTGGACACTGATGATCTGAATACTTGTGTCACCCCCCCTTCCTCCTCTCTGATGGAGCAGAAAATGCAACTCCACTCCCAGCTCCCTCTGTTGCTGGTTGGGGCGTTTGTCCCTCCTGTGTGGGCGTCCCACCAGCACCCACGGTCAAGCTCCGTCAGTCCCAGGAAAGGTTCCTAAATGCTCCAGAGAAGCCACTTGGGAAGCTGCCCATGGCTCAGCCTGGACGGAGCCCCTGAACTGGACAGATGGAAGCGGGGACAGCCCGACCAGCCTGACCAGCGACAGGCTTCCAGAGCGAGGGGATTCCCAGCCACACTTGGGACTAAAGGAGAGAGCCTGTTGACAAAGCCACACAAGGCACATGAGCATGCCTGCGGACGGCACCCACCCACCCAGGCTTCTCCGAGATCCAGTGCCCGCCATGAGGGCCAGCATGCAGGGAGCGCCCTGGGCCTCAGTTTGTCTCTCTGTAAGGCGGGTACCCAGCAGGGCTGTAGTGAGGGTCAATGAGACAACACCACAGGGTGCCAGGACACTGTGAGCCATCAATAACGCTGGCCCTGGGGTCACCGACCCATCACTCACTCCCATTTAGGAAACACCGATTAGGCTGATCACTGTCCTGCTTATAGCCCTAGAGAACCCGTCCCTGAAGGTGGGGTGCGTCTCCTGCTGCTGCTGTGACAAATCACCCGAGCCCGGGGCTGGAACAGCACACGGTCACCGTGGTACAGCCCTGGAGAACCCAAGTCCCACCAGGTCCCAGTGGGCTCCAGGTGTCCACGGGATGAAGTTCCTTCTGGAGGCTCCAGGGGGAGTCCTGCCTGTTCCAGCTCTCAGGGGCCGCCAGATTCCTCGGCTCACGGCCCTTCCTCCCAAAACCCTGACATGTGCTTCCCTTCTCACGTCTTCTCTGGCTCTGACCCTCCTGCCTGCTTCCACTCAGGACCCTTGAGATTCATGGGCCCACTCAGATCATCGGGATCAACTCCTGTCTCAGGTTCACAGCCTTTGCCAGGTAAGGCGAAAGGTTTTGAGGACTGGGACGTGGGTCTCGTTGGGGCCACTATTCTACCCACCACGGAGGGTCTGTACAATCTGCGGTCACTCGGCCGCTCGCTCAGGCACCCTCTCTCTCCTGGCCGCCTTGCTGTCCTCCCTCCCTCTGCGTCTGCTCCGGGGCCTTCCACCCCTCAGCCTGGCTGCCCTCCCACTCTGGGGTCTCGGTGGGCATCCCTTCTCCAGGGGTGGGGCTGGCCCCGGCTCCCCTGCTAGCTCCTGGTCACTGCAGCTTCTCTGCTGTTTGGGGCACTTTGCTGAGAGTGCCGTGCTGACCAGGGATGCGTCTTCTTCTGTCCCCAAGGGCCACCCCTGTGCCCACCAGTCCCAATACTCGTCAGATTCACACACTGTTTTGGACAAACGGATGAAGGACCTGGGAGACACTCAGGACAGTGGGACAGAAGGGCATTTCAGCCCATTACACAGACCCAACACGCCTGAGAAGCAGGACACCTGTCAGCAAGCAGAGCAAAGTCCTCGCCCAGGTTCCTTGGGCCCTGAGTTCCTGCCTGGACCTCTGAGCTCCTTGCACGGCGTAAAGACCCCCAGCTGGGGTGTGCCCACCTCCAGCTGCGAGGAGTGGAGTGGGTGTGGGAGCCTGTGCGGGGCCTGTGTCGGTCTCTCCCACCCAGCTCGGCGGGCATGGCAGCATTACACCCCCCAGGGTGATGGCTGCGGTCCCAGGGGAGGGGTTTCAGAGCTTCTGTCAAAATCTCTGTCCACTGATTCGTTCTAGTGCTTCTCCGACTCCTCCCCCATCCTAGCGCCCGGATGCGGTGGAGAACAAAGCCAGAGGTCCCTCCTGGAGAGGCAGGTGCCACTGGGTGAGACGGCTGCCCCTGAGATTTAACCACGGTCACAAGCCATGATAGCGTACGTTTAGGAGTGACAAGGAGCTACGTGCTCACCCGTCCCAGGCCCTCACCTGGCCCGGGGTCTGAGGATGAGGGTGGGCGAGCAGCCCATGCAAAGGTCCTAGAAGGAGCTGGGATGAGAGAAGGCAGTGGGCTGGAACCCAGTGGAGGGGACGGTGCCAGGTTTGGGGCACATGGCTCCCTCCAGGCCATTATCCTCGTGCAGGGGGAGGTGTGGGAGGTGGGAGGGATCTGACCTGCAGTTTTCAGAGGGCCCCTGCCCCTCCTCCCACTCCCTAGGCCACGGATGGGGTCGTAGTCATGGGGTTTTATATGGGTCATCCAGTGCCAACACGAAGACTGGGCCTGGCGGTGGGGGACGCAAAGCCGGGGCCCGGCTGTCACAGGTGATCTCTGTGGTGGAAGAGGAAGAGGAGGTGATGAAAGAAGAGCCGAACTCTGGGTCCCCACGGCATCACAGGGCTCCCGGGGAAGAAAGATTTGGGGCCAGCTAGGTTTTCGGGGGGCCAGGCCCCTCGCTGCATGACTCCCCAGGTCCCCATCAGTACAGACCTCCAAGGGTGGCTGGGCCCACCTGGTGCCCCAGCCTGTCTGGCCTCTGAGTCCTTGCTGATAATGTCATCTCGTGGCTAGTAACCCAGGTGGGCTGCCTGCAGGTGGGGGTGGTGACGCGGCCTTTGAAACTCAGTCCCACGTGACGGTCACAGAGCACTTGGATTCAACTTTAAGTTCAATATAAAATTTTAAACCGATGCTCAATTCCAGTTACTGAAAACTTTCAAGTATGTTTGGGACAACTTACATTTTTTACTATAAATGTTATGAAATTTAAGTATGATCGACAATTTCTGATAACAATTTAGTATCTGAATTTAGATGTGCTGAGGAGTGAAACACACATTGGTTTTGAAGACAGTAGAAAAAGGGAAAGTGAAATTTCTCATGAATAACTCCTTATATCAATTTCATGTTGAAATGATTTTTTTGGTATATTAGATTAAATTCAAAGGTATTAAAATTACTTTCCCCTGTTTCATGTAGACTTACACACATGGCCCCATTATATGTTACGGGACTGTGCTGGTCTAGAGCCACAAAACTTTAAAAATCAAAACCGGAAGGTCTTAATGCTCCATCTGGTGGAAACTGGGAAAGGGCGGCTCGGCTGTGGAACTCAGCTACTGCAAGAGAATGAGCGTGCGTGAGCGTGCGGGTGTGTGAAGGCGTGCCAGTGCGCATGTGTGTGTGTATGAAGGGTTGTGGCACTGGGTACTGGGTGAGAAGCACGTGGTCTCTGCCTCAGAGAGGGCCACTCTGGGCAGCAGTGCCCGGGATGGTGGCCAGAGGCCTTTCCTGCCACCCCAAGGAGAATTCCAGGAAACAGCAAGGCTGGTGCTGCTGGGCCACAGTGGGGACAGAGTGGACGCCCCACTGACCCTCCTTTGCGGAGGAGCACTCACCAGCTGGGGCCTGAGGGGAGAAGCTGGTCTCCATCCTGAAACGGGGGCCCTGCCTTGGGCTCTCAGGGAGCGTGGCCCGGCCTGGAAGCGTCCTCCTCAAGCCCCTTGTCTGGACTGTACAGAGGCTCTCCAGGCCTGTGGGGAGGTCCTGGCGGCCCCAGACCCCCAAGGGTCTAAGGAGGCTGGGCTCCTGCAGGGCTTGGGCGGGAGGGCTCGTCCACTTGAGGGGCCGTCCCTGGGTGGGGAGATTTCCGCGGTCTCTAACTGCTCTCGGCCCTGTCACCCTCACATCAAAGCCACTTCCTCAGACTCTGTGGCCCCAGAATTGCTCAGAGGCAGCGCCTCTGTGGCCAGGAAGTGGCGGATCATGTAGGGTCACCGGGGTTTCACAGCGATGTGTCATCAGGAGCAGAATGGAAACATTTGATAAGCTATCATTCTTTCTCTGGGAAACCCACCAAACAGTTGGGTCTTATGTGTGGTTCTCAGGGCACAGCAGGGGTTGGGGGGGTGGGGCTGGACGCCAGTGAGGAGTCAAGCCTGGACAAGCACCGTGGGTCTCTGCCCTTCGTTTGCCGTCCGTGAAGTGGGCCCACCAACCCCTCCAGCTCCCTGGTGGCCAAGGTGGCCATGGGGAGACTGACGCTCAGGCGTGTAACCCCAGCCCCTGAGGCTTGTGGGGCCCACTGGTGCAGTGGTTTGGAGCCCCAAGCTTTGAACGGTGTGGAGGGCAAGGCCGTCTGCCCAGAGAGGGTGGAACAGGGGGTCTTGGTGGCAGCAGCACCGTTTTCTCGCCCCTCCCATGAAGGCTCATGGCCTCCGTGGAAAAGTCCCACCTGAGGAGAGAAGCAGGGGAGCCACCACGAACAGGGCTAGGGGACAGGGACCCTCCCAGAGCCGGGACCCTGGGAGGGCAGAGCCTCGCCCTAGAGATAAGCCGAGGGAAAGTTCTGGTGCAGGACGTCTATTCTGTGTCCTGGCTCTGCTGGATGGACCCGGGTCCCTTCCCTTTTGTCTCCCTGGAGGTCACCAGCATGGCTAGGAGGGCCTCAGGAGGCCCCAGGCAGCCAGCCACCGAGGGTGAGCGGCATGGGACTACATGACTAGAAAGAAGAAAGTGCACATGCATGGTCTCTCCTGGCACCTCGCTCTGGGCAGCCGGCCGAGTGCCATGAAACCCGGGCGCCTGGACAGCGGCCTGTGGTTGCTTATGAGGTGCACAAATATAGCTGGTCCGCCAGGGCCACCCACCCCCGCGCCTGCGGGGTTTACAGTCACCTGAGTTTTCCTTTTGTGTTTCTTATACCGTCAAAAATATAAGGTTTGTATGTGTGGAAGGATGTGAGCCACACACGGGGGTCACCAGCGCCGCTGAGCTGAGCCCTTCGCAACTTGCTGACCCTGCACAGGCAGGAGCTGGCCGGTGTGGAGAAGGGGCCCCAGTCTGGGGACCTCCTGTCTGTTCAATGCTGTGTCTGCCCTTCTCACTTTACAACCTTTTCTTCTGGAAAAATTTAAACACATACGAAAATAGAGAGAAGAGGCCCATGAGCTGATGTATCCATGACCCTCTGCAGCAGCTGCCTCGCTGGGCCCCCCACTCCCCTCCCACCCGCGCAGCCGTCCCCGCCCGGGCCCCATCCTGGCCCCAGGCCCGCCCCCGCCCCCGCCCCCGCTCACCACTAGGAAGCAAGTCTGGGATTTTCTGAGCCTCTTTCCCTGCGGTCCTGTAGACGTGCGGCTCTCCGAGCACGCCAGCGTCCGTGGCTCCCCGACACCAGGGAGGAGTCACAGGGCAGGGCGCGCGTCCCGCCGCCTCCGCAGTGCGTGTGGCCACTGCTCCCTCGGTGTCTCTGGGTTGGGACCGCGTCCGTCGCGGCTGGTCGCGGCTGCTCCCGTCTCTCAGCCTGGCCTCTAGGTTCCCCTGTCGTCACTGTCTCGCCTTCCTTTTTCCCTGGCACTGTTTTTGGCTGAAGAAACTGAGTCAGAGTCCCGACTCGACTTTCCCATCAGGACCACGTCCCCCCTGCCGTGGGAACCCGCTCTCCTCCAGGGCAGGAGTTGGACCTCACAGGATCAGAGCCTGGCGCCCTTTCATTTGTTGATCGGTTGACCTTTTCCCTGTGGTAAATATCCACAGCACAAAATCTACCATTTTAAAGAGTACAGTTCAGTGGCGTTTAGCACCTTCACAGTGTCATATAATCATCACCTCTCCCTTATCTAGTTCCAGAACATTCCATCACCCCAGGAAAGAATCCTGGTCTCCAGCCCCTGGCACCACTAAGCTACTCTCTGTCTCCATGAATTCGCCTGTTCCAGACGTTTCACATAAAAGGAGCCGCGCTCTGTGGCCGTTGCGTCTGGCTTCCTTCACACAGCATCGCATTTCCGAGGTCCGTCCACACTGTGGCCTATGGGGGCTCCAGTCCCCTCTGCACAGGATAACGTGCACCACGTGAATGGGTGTACTCTGGGGGCAGGCGCAGCGTCTGGCTGCCTCACTCCCTGGGAGCTGAGAGAGTGGGGGCGGCTCAGCCCCTCCTTCTATCAGCTGAATTCTTCCATGGAGAGAGGCTGCCCACCCCCCACCTCCCTGCTGCCCCCCCCCACCTCCCTGCTGCCCCGGCCGACAGTTCATACAGGAAAGGCCACACAAATGCTTCACTTCTGCCTCTTTTTTAAAGGTTTTATTTTTTTCCTTTTTCTCCCCAAAGCCCCCCGGTACATAATTGTATATTCTTTGTTGTGGGTCCTTCTAGTTGTGGCATGTGGGACGCCGCCTCAGCGTGGTTTGATGAGCAGTGCCATGTCCGCGCCCAGGATTCGAACCAACGAAACACTGGGCTGCCTGCAGCGGAGCGCGAGAACTAAACTACTCGGCCACAGGGCCAGCCCCTGCCTCTTTTTTAAAAAGAAGAAACTGTGAGTCAGTGTCCTGGCATCTGCTACATCGACCAGTTAGCTTTCATTTCAGTCTGTGGTTGTCACCGCGAGCGCAGGTGGGTCTCACATCAGGGGCGGTGCTGAGCTTGGTGGGTCACTTCCCTGCTGCTCACACCGGCTCTGCTCCGGCCTCTTCCTCCCTTCCCCGGGCTCCTGCTGGCTCCCTGCTGCTCACTCTGTTGGGCTGTTGGGGAGACGTGGAACCCCTGTCCAGACTCCGGGCTAGGCTGGGCCTCCAGGTGGCCCTGGGGGGTTCCCAACAGACTGTCCTTCTCACCCCACTGTCCCGCCCTGCCCAGGCCCACCCCCCACTGGGCTGATCACAGCGTGTGCTTGGAGCTTAGGCACCAGTTGCAGCATTCTTAGGTGTATATGGACGTCACACGTTTGACAATCTAAGAAAGAATTAAAGGATGTTGGAACCTTAGCCTGGCCCTCAGCTGCCTCCCGCTATTTGCACCTGCTTTGTAAACAAGTCCGGGCATTTCCCAGGCCATTAGGTTACGTAATGCACATCCTGCTGTGCGGAAGGGAGGGGCCGGGAAGAGCAAAGAGGGGGACCAGCCGGCCCACCCAGGCTGCCCTCTGGCCAAGGAGCAGAAGGCCACGGCCCGCTGTCAAGGCAGGATACGGAGGCGCCTTGAGCAACGCCCTGCTGACCAGCAGGCTGGCGGGAGAACCAGCAGGGGACCCCAGTGGCAGCCACGCCACGTTGGAGGGAAGGCCCTGTGCAGGCCCAGCCCCCGGGACAGACGTCTCAGTAACTTGGTTCAGTTTGGATCCACTGAAACAGCATCTCCTTTTAAGCAGCTTTCCGTCCCTCTGGAGGAAAGGAGTGTGTTCTCCCGTTGGAAGGCACAGCGGCAGCTGCAGGAGCTGATGTTTCGAGAGTCTATCAAAAGACACCTCTTTCCTCTTCTAATGGGTCTAAACCCAGCAAATCTGAGACCCAACACCTCCCTCTCCCTGAATGTTGTGCACTCGGGAACTGAGCTGCCCCGTTTGATCCAGAATTGTGTGGACATCCCGGCCGTGCTGGAGTCTGGCCCGAGCATCATTTATTGATAACATGAAGATCGAATGGTGTGGCCGCAACAAGGCTGCGCTGCTTCTCCAGGGAGGCCCAGCGCCCGGCTTCGCAGGCCTTGCTCCTGAGAGCGGCACTGGAGGGCCGGGTCGGTGTGCGAGCCCTCGGCGGTTCAGGAGACAGTGGAGATTCTGGGAGCCGCATCGATGGGTCCCGTACTCCACAAGTCAGCTGCCACAGGGAAGTGCAGGCACAGGGCGAGCGCAGATGCCTGGGCCAAGGGGAACCTGCGCTGATGCCACGCCCGTCCGTTACAGAGGCCGTGGCGAGCCTCAGGGCGCAGACGGGCTGTGGTCGCCTGTGCCTGGAATCCTAATGTCGTTGATGGAGGACCCGGAACCGCGAAGCTGCCTCCCTGGGCGGGCTGTGGGGGTGCTGCCCACCTGTGCCAGACATCCCAGAAGGCAAACCGGGGGCTTTCTCTGCCCTGAGGGAGAGGTCCGGAGTGGGGCGCCAGGCAGGCTGCATGTCTGTGACACAACAACCATCCTGGCAGTAACAGGAGTCCTGGGGTCGGGACACCCATGGG